CTTTGAAATTTTTCATGCAACAAAAACAGTCTATTATTATTGTTTCGTCCGTGTTTTGGTTGATATATTGCAAAGTAATTTTCATCTTTGATAATGGCTTATGTAAGCCGAAAGCTTCGATTGGATTTAAACATGTATCAGTACGGTGATTTTCTTTCGTCTTTCAATGATAATGCTATTATGCTTATCAGACAATATGAAAGCAACTTACTATATATATATATATATATATATATATATATATATATATATATATATATATGCGGGTATTTACCGCTTTTTTTCGATTTTTTTTCCTTTTTATACATTTATCATTGTGATTTTTTCCGTATTTTTTTTGTTCGTGTGTGCGTTTGTTGTACGGATGTGCGTACGTTTAGAGAGTCGTGATCATTTGTATTTTCGTTTGTGTGTGCGTGTGTGTGTTTTTTCTCTTTACGCGCGCTCTTTAGCTTTTTCTCTTTATTCTTTTTTCATTCGAGAGTTGTTTTTTTGGTGGCGAGTTTTTACACACACCGACACACAAACGCGATGATCTTTACACACACACACGCACACATAGTAAGTGTAATTTTCTGGTCAATAACGCATATAATGATTTAAACTTCATATAGATAAAGATGACTGTTGAAGAAATGATGACATATATTAATAGAAATTATGAAGCGCACACATAAAAACAAACACACACACACACACACACACACACATATATATATATACATGCACATACAATGATATATATACAAATATAAATATTTTATATATATATATATATATATATATATATATATATATATATATATTCACATGCACATAAAATGATATATATATATATACATATATATCAGTATATATATATATATGTGTTTGTATATATATATATATATATATATATATATATATATATATATATATATGTATATATATACCTGACCTGTACCTGTAACGGCATTCACCCGGGGTGGGTTGAGCCGGCTCCAATATTGGAGTTTCATGGGAATTTCGAATTCACAAGCGGTCCCCAACCGCATGTATAGCACATGAGATTTGATTATAGTGGTGAAGGTTTCGTGCAGGACCATCCACACTTTTTTAAGGGCCAATTACAGATACCTGCTGCACTACGTGCCACAAGAACCCCGAACGCCCCCTCCCAAAAAACGGTTGTGAATTCAGATTTTTCTTTCTCCGAGACCAGTTTCCATCCAAGAACCCAGTCTGTCCTTCTATTTTACCCATAGCTGGAGGGAGAAGAAGATTAATACCTTTCCCAAGGGTATTAGCACGTAAGTGAATGTAATGGATTCGACTGGAATTCGAAATCGGCACTCCGATTCCTTAACCCAAGCCCCGCTATCCATTACTCCACCGTTCCTCCCTCTCTCTCTCTCTCTCTCTCTCTCTCTCTCTCTCTCTCTCTCTCTCTCTCTATATATATATATATATATATATATATATATATATATATATATATAAAATAAATTAGGGATAGAGAATTCTGAACAAGAAAATAAATAGAAAAAGCAATAAAACTCCGCAGTGAAAAACGCAGAAAGTAAATTTAACCTAAACATAAAAAGTAATCCTAAATTGAGATAAACTGAAGCTGTTAATTTTGGGTGTAAACTCAACCAATACATCTTTAAGTTTAAAAATAAAGATAAAACTAAAAAGATACCATTTCTTAAAAATTATGATTTCTTGGAAGCTACTCGTCGAGCGATATTTACAATTAATAATCCAAAAGGATGGTTTCAGAACTTGAAGTTATCTTAGATAAATGGACAATTTCTGTCATATCTGGAACCGCCCAGTCCTCGCTTGCCTGCCTTTGGAGGGTTTAAAAGTTTCCACACGGTCTTGTGGATGATTTATTATTTCCCATCCTACCACCACTTTCCTCACAGACGGAACCTTGTGAGCTTTTCGCTGCTTCCATGGCATTTGTTCTAACGAGGGACATTATTTAGTCCCACCAGCCCTGACATTTACAACTGGGACCTGCCATGACACCTACCCAAGGATGAATCACCCGAACCCTGTCGTATTCATATTGTAAAAAAGTAAGTTGTATTCGGACAGGTTCTTCCCAAGAACTGCTGCTTTGTCGAATAGACTCCAGGCAGGCAGGACGTTTTTTTTTTTTTTTTTACTACAGTCTTGACAATTCAAATCTAAGATTAACCGTTATCTTTCGTGCATATTCCCAACTTCGCTTTGTCTCCTTTCTTACGCGCATACACCAACAGGCAGTAGCCGTCTACCTTAAGTGGCTCTTGGGCCTTGTAGTGGGTGAATATCATTATAGAAAAATTCCCCTTGCTATCACAGTTTTTCTCAATTTCCCCTCCACTTTGACATGTTATGGTCTTAATTTTTCACCATTCGATATTTACTGGTGTGATTATTGTAACAATTTATGAAACCAAATTGATTTATTAATTCATTGTGTCATAAAGTTAGCTAAGAGTTATTCACGTCAGAAAAAATGAAAAAATTGTGACTGTCGTCTTGATGGCATCCCCCACCCCCACCACAACCACAAAAAAAAAAAAAAAAAAATAACCGACAACTCGTCGTCGGCGTCATAATAAAAGCTACCAACGACGACTTCTCACGTGGTTTGGCAGTGAATTTTAGTCAATGTCTCAACAGGTTTGAAAAAATTCATCACGTCTACATACACTATTTACATTGTGCGGACTGTTCTCCTCAACTCTGTTGACATATTTACGACGTTTCGACCGTTATACGCCGGGGCCTTCTTCAGGTGGCATAATTTGGAATTTCGAAACGAACCCTTTATTTCGTCTTCCTTTGTAGTTTGTTCTAGATCCACGTGCCATGCCACTTCCGGGTATCTCAGTTTCAGTTATTTCCCTTTTAAAAACTCAACTCTCAAGATTTGTTCCCCTCTTCTGTGCTCGGGTATTGAACTCACCAATCTTTGGGTCAAGTTACTGGATTGCTTCAACAGACGCTTTTATCTACTGGGCCACGTTTTCATGAAACATAAACTATACCTTAACCGTCCAAGAGAGCCATATTCGTTAGTGTCGAGTTTCCAGATGGAATTTACAAATTAGTGATAAGTTATCCATCATAATTAAGACTGCCATAAACATAGATATATTTCTCAAATTAAATTCTTTGATAACAATCTCAACATCATTTATCACAGTTAAAATAAACCCCAGGCTGCATGAACGAGACTTAGCCTTCGGAGAGCGCAATATCTTTTCATGTTCGGGTTGCAGATGGAATCTGCTATTCTGTGGTAAGTACACCGTGTACACATTATTCTTAAACGTTAGTAAATCTCTAGAATGGACCTAAGAATTATCCAGAAGAATGATTTTGCATTTTTCTCGTACGTCTACAAATGTGCATTGCACTCGTAATTTTATCAGTGTTTAAAGAAATATCTAGACACCACTTACCTGTTAATTGGCGGTCTATCTGTATCTTCTAATGGGCCGGCTTCTTAGGCGCCAGTTAGGAAGCTCGTCTATGCTTTCATTACCACGACAATTGCGTCCTGGGGTTGGCGATTAAGTACATCCGGCAGCAAGGCCTCTGATCAGGAGGTTTTGAGGAGCGTGGTTCCACCTCTTAATTGCTGTTGTTCCCAGGTTCACCATGAGCCGCGGTGGTAACACCTGTTAGGGTCTCAGTTACGGGCAAATAGTGAACTCTCATACAAAAATCAACGGTACATTTTGAGAGTAGAATTACTATCAATGCATTTTATCTGTAGTTGAAGGCATACAATTGCTTTCAAAATAGAGGCAAATAGTTGAATGAGGTTATTTCTTATATATATATATATATATATATATATATATATATATATATATATATATATATATATATATATATATATATAGTTTTGAGGTGGGCTATATTTATGGGAGAAAGTGCCCAATATCAGAGATGGAGCGTACGTAAATATAAAAGTGAACATTGAAGTAGGCACTCAGAGGCCTAGTTCATAGTTACTAGGCCACAGTGTACTAACCGTGTTTGGAAAAGAAAAAAAAATCTCTATAACACACTAAAAAGCATACACATAATGCACACACTCAATTAAACTGAAAAATAAAATCATCCTTGATAATGGCTAAAAGTATAGCCGAAAGCGCTCGGAATTATAACAACATTTGGACAGTTCCTACATACTCTGTATCCAAAAAAGAAAGCAATTGTTCGAATACAAGAAAAATTAAATAAAAAGCCTAACCGTAGTACTTTGTCTGTCATTTTTAATGAAACATGCATATATATATATATATATATATATATATATATATATATAAAAGAACAAAGAGTAAGATTTCAGCGTTCAAAACATTCATTTAAAACCGGGATCAATACAAAAGTAGTGTAATAATATTTATTTATTCTGCAGTGTTACATTAGAATATGTACATACCCACTACAAAACTGTACATTTTGTTTCAACTTTAAAAATTTAAAATTAACGTTTCTTCATTTGGGAAACCATGATGGTACATTTTAATTTTTAACGCTGAAACAAGATGTACAGTTTTGTAGTGGGTACGTACATGTTCTAATGTAACAGTGTATAATATATATATATATATATATTATTTTTTATATGCGTACGCATGGATGTGTAACTGCGTCTACCCTCGGATTGTTTATATGGGTGCGTTTGTGTGAACTAAAATGTGTACACCTGTATGTATGTGTGTCTATGTATGAGAGTGTTATCCCAAACAAACACAGAAGGAAATTCCCAAGCAAATTCAGAAGGAAAAACCACTAAGAATGTATAAAAATACATGTTTATAGTAAAATTATCAACAATACATTTTCATAGTAAAATTACCAGTAATACGTTTTTATGTAAAAAATAAAATAAAATAATACCTGAAATGTATTTTTGAAAAAGAAATTACTAATTCTCTCAAGAAAATAAAATTTCGGCAGTAAATGACCCCTAAAGAGTTGATATACTGTTAAACAAAAAACACAGAGAAAGCCAATTGAATTCGGCTTTGTGTCAAAGTGATTGTCATTGACTACGGAAAGAAAAGACTTTCGCTCTACAAGAGACGGTTTAATAGTAAAAGAAAGTAGAACAAGAAAGGAAAACAAGAGAAGAAAAAGAAAGACGTGAAAAAATAAAGATAAAAAATAAAATGAAAAGAAAAATGAAAGATTAAAACGAAAAAGATTTAAAAAAAGAAGCTAAGACAACGAGTTAAACAAAGAACAAAAAAGAAAAAGAAAAGTATACAAAAGAAGGAGTTAAACAAAAGAAAGAGAAATATTAAGAATGAGAAAGAGAATGAAAGTCAGAAATAAATGAGACAGAACATATCAAGTTGAGAAAAATAAATAAATGTGTGTACATTGACAAAGAATGAATAAGCGAATAAAAGAATAAAAGAATGAATAAGCGAATAAAAGAATAAAAGAATGAATAAGCGAATAAAAGAAAAGAGAAAACCAACAAGAGATTTATAGACATCAACAACTAAAACAAAACAAAAGACAGAGAAACTGAACGAAGAATAAAGTGTCACAATTCTAAATATTGCCACCACAAACAAAAACAAGGCTGGTGCAATGGGTCCGAAATCCGATCTCTTCTGTTGAAAGATAACAGGAAGGTCCTACTGTCAAATCGTCAAAGCTGACGAGAGTAAGGCGGTGAGGGTCCCAATAAAAAGAGATAAACCAACAGAAATAAGTAAAGTGAAAATAAAATAAATAATATCAACGAGGAAGACAGAAAAGACATTGAAAAAAAAATGGAACAAAAGAAAGAAAGAAAAAAAAACTGGGGGTGTTAGCAGTTATTTTAGGGTCTTTGTAAGGGCTAACACGTTAAGGGTCAAAAGGTGAGTAGTTTTTATCACGACCTGAGCGACCCTTTAATGTTCACGGTCGACAGCAGCGATCGAGACACAACACCAGATAAAATTATGTAGGTTGGTAAACGGATACGTGATCTAACCAAAGTCGTAGATAATTTCTTTGTAAACACTTTTCTCACAACACTTTCTTTTTTACTTTCTATCCGTCTCTTTAGACATCTCTCTCTCTCTCTCTCTCTCTCTCTCTCTCTCTCTCTCGTACATATATATATATATATATATATATATATATATATATATATATATATATATATATATATGTGTGTGTGTGTGTGTGTATATGAGAAAAATATACGGAAAAAACAAACAAAAATCCTAATATGCAAGTATGCTGTTTTAATGTTAATATAATGTCAACGTCGGACGTTTCGGTCTAATAGACCATCTTCAGGACATATTCATAAAACATAATTAACATGGTCTACTAGACCGAAACGTCCGACGTTGACATTATATTAACATTAAAACAGCATAATTGCATATGTTTTTTTATTTGTTTTTTTTCCGTATATTTTTCTTCATACTGTCGGATCTATATACATATATTTGCTTATATATATATATATATATATATATATATATATATATATATATATATATATATATATATATATATATATTAGATAGGTTCATTTATCATCCGATTCACGCATCTACCCAGTCTTTTGAACAGGAGTAGAGGTTTATCCCTTGTTTCCTGTTTAGGATTGGGGTTCAAGCTTCTTTTAAAGTCTTACACTCCTCCTCTGTCTCTTAAACAGGATTAGAGATGTATCAATTATTTACCTTTTAAGATTTCGTTTCCGGTTCCTTCTAAAAAAAATGTTCCATTTTCTTTCATGTGCTCTCCTTTTTAGCTGTTGCTGATTGAAAGTTCCCAAGTGATGTAATTCCTGTTTTTTGGTACAGTTCTTTGTTTGTTATGCTCAAATATATAACGACGCAGTAAGGGAATTCACACAGGAATGTTATAGTCGTGGAAGACGCAAGAAGATTATTCAATCATTTATTTAAGAATCATGATTCATTTGCAAATTCAAAAAAGAGAAATTAAATTTGCTTGGATCTTGCTGGCAATATTTTTTTTACATTCACCTATTTCAAAATCAACGAGAAATATTTTTAATCATTTCACCCCAAGCAAGGCAATAAACCCGCTAAAACAAAAGGCAGAGACTAAATGTGAGAGAAAAATAAGAATCACTAAGAGAGAGAAGAATAAAAGAACGGGAATTTAGGAGAGAGGACATAACGATTGACATTGCATTTAAATTTTTGAAGATCAAATTTGACTGGGAAGGAAGAAGCCGAAAACGAGAAGTGAAAGGGAAGAAACTATTAGCATAGAACTTACGGTTACATGTTGCCATTTCAACTGTAAATTGATGAGAACTTGCTGCCAATCTAGTCAGTCAGTTATGTGCCATGCGTGATACACACTTCGGCGATCATGTATCTTTCAATACATGACTGACGAGACAGATTTTTTCCCGTAGGTGGTTGCCATTTCTTTCTGCGGTAGACCAGTTGCCATCTAAGGATTCATACATTTCCCAAGTAAGCGAATCCAATGGATTCAACTGGAATTTGAACTCGGTTTCTCCGATTTCTCTATCGGAGCCGTTATCCATTACTCCACCCTGCGTCCGATTTAAATTTAAAGCGGTATGGGGGGGTAGGCAAAAGCCTGTCTTCAATATCTTATCTTAAATTTAGCTCGCCACGATTACTGACCCAAATATTCGACAGCATTCCTTACACCAAAACATTGACATTACTTACCAATTTTGCTACAGTCACTACATTATCTCAAAGTCTCTATAAAGTCCTAACCAGTTCCCATACGTACGGTCTTTAGCGGGAGGGGGATAAAAATAACATTTAAAAATCTATATCATTTCAAGTTCAATTTAGGACTAATCAAAGTCATTTTGGGACTAAGCAAGTTCAAAATGAAATAGCCAAGTTCAGAATGTGACATAACAAATTCCATTTTGAATAGCGTTCATAATATATCTTATTCATAAAAGCAATTAAAAACCTTTCTAATTAAATAATGTGTTAGATTTATTAATATTTTTATTTTGCGATTCATAGCAGATTTTCTGTTACTGGAGGTCCTGCTTTAAAAGAAAATGATTTAAATTCCCTAAGGATTAATTAATTAATTTAAGCATTAAACGGTGCAAAAATGAATTTCTAAAAATAAATGTGTGTCTGTGTGTGTGTGGGGGGGGGTCGTAACAGCTGTAAAAAAAGAAGAAGTTTTTTTACAAGATTTTTAGAGAAAAAAAATTTTCTAAAATAATTTCATTCATTTGTGAAAGTCCTGAAAGTTTAATTAATATCCAACAATTATTTGATTTTTGCAAAAATTTCAAATCAATGTATTTTCCCCCGCAAAAAAAAAAGGCGCTCTAATTTCCTAAACTAATATTTGGTCCTTCGCTGACACTAGACAGACAAAATTTTTAATTAGAATTTCGAACGTTCTAAAAAGGAAAATAAATGTAATTTAATAATCAGCGGTTCGATGATTTTTTTAAAATTCTTGATCCGCTCACAGACACAGACGACGTGGAAGTGCACTGTCACAGTATTGTGTCAAAGCCTCCGATGAATTTCAGCCCCTAACACACCTTCCAACCAGAGAAATCGGATTACTGCTCTTTGTTCGTCTTTGGTGCAAACTGCTAGCGGATCGGCCATGTTTACACTGTAACAACAGCAAGAAATCTGGCGCGATGAAGCTCAAACTTCGATCACGTGACCGCAATAGTACCAACTATAAGCACGCATGAGCAGAAGGCAGTATAACAAACCTAGAGACAAACCTAAAGATATGTTATGGTGAAAGTAAGGATAATTTTTGACTTACTCTCGTATATACATACATACACACACACAAATATATATATATATATATATATGAAGAAATATAGTCTTAAGGTGTGCTATATTTATGGGATAAAGTGCTCGATATCAGAGATAGAGCGTGTGTAAATATAAAGGTGAACATTGAAGTCAACACGTAGAGGAGACAATCTGTTTCATGCTAGACGCAATCGGCAGGTCTGACGATTGCTGTTATTTTTCTCGGCTATTCATATATACGGGTCAGCAGTGCATTGTGGGTAGTCTATTTTGGCAGTTATTTTGCCGGAAGTCGTTTATTTGTTCATTTATTTATTTATTTGGGTTAAATTATTTTGCTTGTCATTATTTATTTTATTTTTTTTTTTTTTTTTTATATATATATATATATATATATATATATATATATATATATATATATATATATTTTAATCGGTGTTTTTTGTTAATGTAGTAAAAATTTGTTTATATAGCTTATTTAATTGTTTTCGTTTGGGAAGATAATTAAAGCTATTTATTCAATTTTGGGGTTGATTCTTGTAATTTATTCTAAGTATTATTTTGGGGGAAGCAGTTTTTAATTTGTTTATTACTTCATGTATTTATTTGGATTGATTATCTTTATTTGTTTTTTTTTCTAATGGTTAATTTATCGGGATCGGTTTGTTAGTTTGTTTATTTATTTGGATGAATTTAGATTAATTTATTTTGCTTGCTTTTTATTATTTATTTATTATACTTTATATTTGTATTTACTGCTTTCGTTTTTCAATTTTTAAGTAACGTACAATTTTTTTTAGCGTTATATAACAGTTATAACTAGATTTTTCGTCCGATTTTTGGTTTGATTTTTATAGTCTAATTAATATTTGGTCAGGATGGATTGTTAATTTGTTTATTATTTACTTTATTTCTTTGGGTTCAAATAAACGACTTCCGGCAAAATAACCGCTAAAATTGACTACCCATGCGTCACTGACCCGTATATATAAATAGCCGAGAAAAATAACAGCACTCGTGGCCTGACGATTGCGTCTAGCATGAAACAGACTGTCGCCTCTAAGTGTTGACCTCAATGTTCAATTTTTTATATATATATATATATATATATATATATATATATATATATATGCAGATAGATAGATATATAGATAGATAGATAGATAGATAGATTTCTGGGGTGAGATATTATGTACACTATTGTTCGGACTGTTGTCCTTAAGGACACATGGCAGAGGATAAAGGCGTAGTGAGTTCAATACTGGTTAAGGCAGTGTAGAAATTGGAGAGGTGAATTAACAGGCGATAACTGATAACTGAGAACGATTACACATGGCACGTGGAACTAGAACAGTCTACCCCAGCGAGCGAAATAAAAGATTCAGTTCGACATTCCAACCACCTGAAGGAGGCCGGAGCGTACAACGGCCGAAACGTTTTGATAAATATAGCCAGAAAATGACGACAATAGTCCGAATATATATATATATATATATATATATATATATATATATATATATATATATATACAGTGCGCCTAGGAAATCAATTTCTAAAATTTTGTTTCTTTGCTTTTTCTTAACTCTAACCGACGTTGAAAATGCAATCGGTTAATCTATTTCGTTCACTTCCGTGCAAATATCCTTGGGAAATACCTGAATCTATCTTCTGTTCCAACTGCTATGGTTTAAATAGCCAGGTATACCAAGTAGAAGCC